GAGACGTATACTCCTCTCGCTGGGAAAGGAGGAGGAAATCCTCAACATACTTTGTATTATACACCAATCGGGCGACAACAGGAAAGCAGTATAGCTGATTGGACAGCATACGCCTATGACGAAAATAGAGACAATCAACTTAATTCTTCAGAAGCAGTAGCATTACAACATCAACGTATGGTAAACAGTCTATCACCTACGCCTACATCTTCTGAGTCCATACGACAAGGAACACCGATGAGTATTGTCCCTACTCAGAGACTCTCTATACAGGACGTTGATATGTCATTACAAACGGCAACGCTACCTCAACGATCTATGCCAGTCGTAGAGAGTATGTTCGCTGATTCTAACGATTCTATGGACATTGATATGGACTCTCAAGAATTCAACGATCAGGTTGTACGAGTAACAGAACAATTAAATAAGTTTTCAAAACGATTGTCAGCCGTTAGTAGTCAAATTACTGCTGAATTATCCGACATAGAATCTATGAACGATGAGGATGATGTATCTGACGAACACGGATTTCCCACTGAAATAATACTTGAACAAAGTAATGTTAAAGGAAAAGGGACAATCAGAATTGAAGACAACCTTATTGAATTCACCCAAGAAAATAATGGTGATGCCGACGAAGAAAATGATGAGGATAATACGTCCATACATTCCGACGATACTCAGATGACTGAGACGCCAGTTACCCATCCAACAACTATAAATACAACCATTCCCCCATCTTCAAGTCCTCACCAAAGTTCAAGTAAAGGCTCAAGTTCAAAAACAAATCCAAATCCAAAACCAAAACCAAATCCAATTCCAAAACCGACAACAGGTCTAAAACCACCACCTATTAACAACAATCGTATTATCATGGAACCAGGACAGCTTCAAAATCTTATCGATGCCCTAACAAACGGCCTGAATAATATACAATTTCAAGCTCCCGCTATCAATATTCCACCCCAAGAACAAAATGTCATGATATATGATGTTAGGTTTACGGAAGGAATAACCAATCCGCGTAAATTCTTGGACGAGTTAAGTCGTAGATTTGACGCGAATATGGTGAACAATTTTGCCCGTCGCGTTGAGCTGTTATGTTCTTTCGTTCCCGAGACAGTAGCCCATTGGGCGAACACTTGGAGACAAGCGCATAACGCCAATGGCAGATGGAGGCTTGATGGTAATATACCAGAATCGTTCTACCACCAATTCGTTCAAAAATATATGACTCCCCAACTCCGGACGAGTCTTTACACGGAATACCAAAAGTTGGAGCTAAAGAAAGGACAAACAGTGGCGAATTATGTCAATAAATTACGCGCACTATGATCCGATCTTGGAATTGAATTAAATGCCGCCGGACAGATCGATAAGTTTATTCAAGGCTTACCTAAGTCTATGAAAACGATTGTATATCAACAAGGCGCGCCCGATACCTTAAACGCGGCCATACAACGAGCCGAAAACGCTCAACTAGCACAATCTTTCGACGATGGGGATAATAACAAAGACGCAAACAAAAATATGTTATTAATCGTGGAGAAACTGGAAGAACTGAGTAAAAAAGTCGCCGAAAATCCGTCCTCAAATCCACCTGCTGTCTACACTGCGGGTAGAATGCCTGTCAGTAACCAAGGAATGCCTAAACGCACGAGAAATAATAATAATAACTTTAATCGAAGTTATCGGTCGAATAACAATTACAACAACAATAACCAATTCGGAGGAAGAAATCGTTCAGGAAATGTCCGATGCTATAACTGTGGTAAACCTGGACATATTAAAAGATGGTGTCAAGAACCAACCTGCGACAATTGTGGTAAAGTAGGGCATGACGCCAATAAGTGCCTTACTAAACCGACTCCAAAAAACTGCTAAACTCTTTCGGAGGAGGTACGAGAGAGTTAAGTGGTAATCCTCCGCTATTGAGACTTCAAGGGCACGACGCCAGGCGAAGTGGTCCCTTAGAGATCATAGCAGAGCTTGGAGGTGTGCAGAGAAACGTGGTTATAGACACTGGTGCAGAAATAAACGTAATTGCTAGAGATTTTGTCTGGCAAAACGGTTGGAAAAATATGGTAAAAGAACAAAAAAATGAAATCCTAGGTATATCAAATCAAGTCATCAAATCAGACGGAAAACTGGTACTGGAAGTAAGCATTAAAGGAGCAACAGTTCCTGTTGAATTCCTTGTGGTGCCGGTCACCAACATATATGCCATTCTTGGCATAGAATTCGTAAAAGCTCATGATGTGGAACTCAAGTTCAACAAAGATGAAAGTTACATGAAATGGCGTCCTAAGAAAAATGAAGACTTACGGCAAGTTCCATTAATTATAAATACCCAAGCTCCCCACCTCAATGTCTGGAGAAAAATAAATTTCATCAAGAAAAATCGGATTGAAAATGCCCCACTATCCCAGAAACAACAAACAAAGAAGAAAAACGCGACAGGAAATTCCACAAAGGCCACAGAATCAGGGAGAAACTCTCCTAGACTATCCCAAGCC